GTTATAAGTGTACTATTATAAATCACGAGTGTTATCGTCGTTTATAGGTGTACTATTAGATTTGTATTACTATTAATTACTATCATTATTATTGTAATTATTGTCGCTATCATGTTTTATCATCATTAAAATAACGTTATCATTAGTAGCTTAGTAGTTCACATAGTTTTTTATCATAGCTATATCTATTATTATCATCATTACAAACATTATCATTATCATTATCATTAATAGTAGCAGAAGCATCAGTTCATTATCATTATTGTTGCTTTCTTGGTGTTATTGTTTCTACTATTTCTATTATTTTCATTATTGTTGCTGCTTTTTTTTCGTTGTTTATTATTTTCATTATAATCATCACCATCATCATCATCATCATCATCATTATCATTGCTATTATTATTATTGTTATCATTATTACTATTACTTTTATTATCATTACTATAATTATTATTATCTTTATCATTATTATTATTATCATTAGCATCTTTATCATCATCCTCATCATCACTGATATCGCTATCTTTATTGTTATAAAAATGGTATTGATATTATTATTAGTAATAGTAGTAGCATCCTCAATGCTATCTTTATCATTACATTTATCATCATGATTAGTATTTTTATTATCACCAGTATGATTATTATCATCATTTTATTAGTATTATAATTAGCTTTACTAGCATTATGCACGTTCTTAATATTACCCTAATTACCATCAATATCATAATTACTTGATCCCCATCATTAACATTACTATATTACAACACTGAAGTCTATCAGCATCACCAATAAATCCATCAACAAACATTTATCAATTCCCAGTTACTTTTAGGCATATGATAATTAACAACCAATACTCCATTTCACTCGCTCTCTCTATCAAAGGTCTGCTTCCTCGCATCTGACGTGTTTCTAACATGTTCCCGATTACTGTACTGGCTGGCGAGTCAATACAGCGAAGGGCTGGTGTGAGGGCTCTTGACGTGAGGGAGTGAATGCTGTGAATGCTGCGTGAGTGAGTGAACTATTATGTCAGTAGTATAGTAACTATTATCATTATTATTAGTAGTAGTAGTATATTATCATTATTTATTAGTAGTAGTAACTATTATCATTATTTAGTAGTAGTAACTATTATCATTATTATTAGTAAGTAGTAGTAACTATTATCATTATTATAGTAGTAGTAGTAACTATTATCATTATTATTATAGTAGTAGTAGTAGTAACAGTAGTAGTTACATCATTCATATCATTATTATTAGTAAGTAGTAGAGTTCTATTATCATTATCATTCGTTTAGTAGTAGTGTAGCTATATTATCATAGGTAGTAAGGTAGTAAGTGATTAAGTAGTAATAGTAGTAAGTAGTAGTAGTATAAGGACGGTAGAAGACAGGTATGTAATAGTAGTTGGTGTACGTAGATCTAGGGAAGAGTTGTGATTAGCGTCGTAGTAGTAGGTAACTGTCGTAGTAGTAGTTAGTAGTATAGTAGTAACTATTATCATTATTATTAGTAGTAGTAGTCCAGTAGTAGTAGTACTATCTATTACATTATTTTAGTAGTTGTAGTATACTGGATGGGGATAATTGGAATGATGGGTTTAGTGTTTTGGATGTACGTAGATATAGGAGAAGAGAAGTGATTAAAAGATAAAGAGAAACCATAATGTGAATAGACGGATGGATATGAAATATAGATAAATATAGATTAACAGATTTTTTTCTTCATTTTCCATAGTTTTTTTTTCCTCATTCATCAATATTCGTCAATGAGAAATAAAACTGACTTTCTCTTCTTTTTTTCATCCTTTTCATCAGTACTACATACCTATGCTTCAACTCCCCAACTGATTTGCATAGTACAAACAGGATCACTCATTACCATCTACATTGATTATGCAATAACTCCCTACTTACTTAGGCTGAGTCTGAAAATAAACACAAACATACACACACACACATATACACTATATATATATATATGTGTGCGTGTGTGTGTGTGTGTGTGTGTGTGTGTGTGTGTGTGTGTGTATACACACACACACACACACACATATATTTATATATTATATATATATATATATATATATATATATATATATATATATATATATATATATATATATATATAATATATATATATATATATATATATATATATATATATATATATTATATATATATATATATTATAATATATATATATATATATATATATATATATATATATATATATATATATGTATATATATGTATATGTATATATACATATACATATATATATATATATATATATATATATATATATATATATATATATATATATATATATATATATATATATATATTATATATATATATAGTTCAATGTGTATACTGACCATCTGATATGATAATACAGCATCAGACATGAATTACCAACCAAATTTCCTAATGTCATAGCAAGAGTTCATAATTCCATTAAAGGCAGTTTTATTTCCTCTCCAGAAAACCCTCACGTAATTCCGTTCCTATGAAGCCAAGGGTCTGATGACTAGCTTCAGTTTTTTTCTCTCTTTTTCTCGTCTTTACTCTTTTCTTCAATTTTCCTGAGGCCTTTCATCTGCGGTATGAATAAGCAAAGTACTGGTTTCTTTGATGTATTTGACATGAGCTGATAGCCAATAGGGTTCTTTCAAGATTATTACCTCCTTCGCCACATTCATCTCTAGATTAAACACAAGAAGGAGGAGAAAAATGTCTATAAAATACATAGTTAGTTCCTATCGGTTTTTGCCTCGAGCTGCCTTTTCTACTTCCTTTTCTTTTTCTTTCTTTTTATCTTTCTTTTCTCCTTATTTTACGTTTTCTTTTTCTTCTTTTACTCTTTATTTTCTCCTTATTTTACGTTTTCTTTTTCTTCTTTTACTCTTTATTTTCTCCTTATTTTACTTTTCTTCCGTGAGTAAGGGAGGTAAAGGATTATACAACTATAAAAGTAACCCATTTAGTGGTTTTCCTGCAATCTGCACTAATGGCAATCAACACTGTATCTGTCCTTGGATGTTAAGACAGCGTTTCACAGTAACTATGACGCATAAACGAATTGACGATCAGTAGTATAATTATTGTCATTTATACTCGTATTATTATTATCATTATAAAGATGATGATGGTGATTATCATCTTTATCATATGATTATTGGAATCATTATCATTATTACTGCTTTCCTTCTTATTTTCAACATTATCATTCTCCATTTTTCTATTAATATCAGTATCATTGGTATTGTGAATATCATTACTATTTTCATCATAATCATTATCATTTCTTACACACACACACACACCACACACACACACACACACACACACACACACACACACATATAATATATATATATATATATATATATATATATATATATATATATATATATATATATATATATGTATATATATCCCTATTTGAATGAAAAAGACTTTAACGTGATAATAGTATGGTAGAAAAGCGTACAATACACAAATTAGATTTATTGAAATAAGTGAGACAACAGTTTCGGAATCGTCCTCAACTCTGTCTCACTTATATCAATAAATCTAGTTTTGTACATTGTGGGGTTTCCTATTATATCCTTGTTTCTATACATTCATTTTTTAGGTGTGTCTGTGTCTGAATCTCTCTCTCTTCTCTCTCTCTCTCTCTCTCTCTCTCTTCTCTCTCTCTCTCTCTCTCTCTCTCTCTCTCTCTCTCTCTCTCTCTCTCTCTCTCTCTCTCTCTCTCTCTCTCTCTCTCTCTCTCTCTCTCTCTCTCCCTTCTTTTGTCTCTGTCTCTTCCCCTTTTTCCGTGTCTCGTATCCTCTCGTCTCTCAATATGTTCTTTTCTCCCTCGACCCTTTCAGGAGAAAAAAAAATGATTTCAAAGGATTCATACTTTTATTCTTCGTATCTTAAGAATAAATCAGGGAAAAGAAAGTCCAGCGGTGCATTTAGTAGTTTTTATTTTCGTTTTTTAGGTTTTGTTTAATTTATGTTAACAATCAGACCGACAGACGAAAGAAAGCGAAAATATATATTCAAACTGTTTAGAACCAACTAAATCTAAGTCTGTTGGTCAATTTATTCATTTATTTTTCTTTATCATCGGTCGTGAAGGATTATAAGTTGAGACAAATATAGAAAATCGGAAAAAAGAAAAGAAATGTGAAAGAACAACATAATTTCGATTCATTTTCTTTTTTTGTTTCATTTTTTTGATAAAAAACGACTTCAAAAGAGCCGCGTCTTAATTCCAATGTCTGTATTTAACTAACCAATTAAAGTGAAAGAAAAAAAACATAATTATAAATCTAAGAACATAATTTTAAAGTTAAGAAAACAAAAAATAAAATACCTATAGGAGCAGATGCTCTTAAAATTAAAACATCCATAAAAAGTCGTATTAAAATTATATAGTATTCACACAGACCCTTAGATTTACAAGTTTACAGAGGAAGCTCGCATAATTATGATAATGATATCATCGGTAAAAGTATGGTCATTGATTGTGAATATAACCGTTTAAATATAATAGTGGTTATGTTGATATTTCATAATGTAATAATAATAACAATATGAAAAATAATAATAATAATATAATAATAATAATAATAATAATAATAATAATAATTACAATAATGATAGCAATAATAATAATAATAATGACAATGATGATGATAATAATAAGAATAACAGTAATGATGATAATAATAGCCATAATCATCATTGCAAAAATAATAGTGATAACAATAACAATGATTACCCGCTATTATGAAAATAATCGCATTATTGGCAACAAGAAATAACAATAACATTAGCGTTTCACTTTTATTTTGTGCGATTTTAGATTTGATAATTTCGTGTTTTTTTCTTAAAATCCTACAGTTCTTTTACTTATTAATGTATCTATATATGGTTAATTCTCGTATATATCAAGCTATCACAAATAATGTTAATGATGAATTATTAATCATTATTTTTTTTGTCAAAATAACCAATCATGTGAGTGTAGCTTCGTATTACATCAGTATCAGTCATACAAGCTCCCTTTTGTACAATAACTTTAATGTTATGTGGCACTTGATCTCCCTATCAGAGTTAAAACACTTAAGTGAAATAAGAAAAAAAAATCATCCGGGCTATAAAAATACGTAAATTCTTACGGCACCTCTCCCGTGGCATGCTAAACGCACAAACTAGCATGTTATAGTATACAACACTTCAAGTATAACACTTAACACTGACAATTACATTTAAATGCAGAGGTTGCTGATTAGCGCGTCCACAGTCGACCCCGAACAACAAACGTAAAGAGAACATTGAAAATGAGTATATCAAGAGAAACTCGGGCACGGTTTCGGACGCTGCTTCACTCCGTTTACATCTTTGCAGCTGTTTCGGACGCGCCATCAGCTATAACATCAGTTATTTTCTTGTTTTACTTTTTTCTTAATTCTGTCTTTCACTGAATTCTTCCCGTACATTGTGAAATGGCTGATCTGCTCCTAGGACTTGTAAAGAGAGTAAAAAACAAACTATGTGGTAAATCTATAGTTTATATTCAGCAGAATACAAAGGTTGTGTTACTCTCTAGTACCATCCTGCCTATAAGAAGCTGTAAAACTCATACACTGTAACTTGCGTAAAGCACTTGTTCCACCTATTCACTATCTGAAATCCTATGGCAAACTACCATACATCTAGAACCTGTTGCTATGCTGGTTTTCACCTGAATTTTGTCTGCACAAGACGTCCTTCGGGAGAATTTCCACAGTGTTGGATTCGCCATTTTCTTCTTTTCAGTGAGTTCGACTCCTTTCGTTTTCCTTTCTTCTTCATTTTTTCTCTCCATTTCCATCTGATTCTGGTTCTTTTATCCTCCATTACACAGGCCCCAGATTCTGGTATTGAACATAATCTCCTCTGGATCACTTCATTGATGTTTTCACATTGGAGACACTTGGTACACATCATAATTATCTAGAATGTTGTTAGTATCAAGAAATATCTTACTTTAGCAATCTGAAAGAGGTCGTTGATATCTCGGACACGGTTTCAGAGACCGATTTCCTCATCAGGTGACCAAGACCACTCCCGTTTTCTTTTACGCAGTAGCTGTAGATCACGTTTTCTGTATTTTCCCATAGAAGATTGATGAGGTATCGCTTTTCTTTCATATCGTCTACTATCCTTTAACACCTTTACGGGTCTGCTTCGACCCCGTGTTACCTATGTTACCTATGAGAGAGAACAAATAGTTCCATTCGACAGCTTACGTCATTCATATTTACAATCAAAATTTCCCATTTTCTGTGAACGATTTCCTTCAAAGAAAACCGCATTCCATA